CTGAGCTGCTGGTTCTGCTGCTCAGATTAAAAACGAAATTGATGTGGAAACAGGTTTCAGTTTTAGTTAAAACTCTTTATTTGGCTGACATGTGAAGGAAAATAGTCGACTCTTCTTGGCTCTAGTGTGCACGACAGCTACCATAAGGAAAAAACCCAGTCAAGCTAATAAATTTGGAAAACAACAAACATAGATGTCATTTTTTATCATTGGTTTCTTCGAGCTGTCAAGTCAAGTTTAGTGGGTCAAGGAGTTTTGAACAATGTATTGACTATGTATCTTTGAGTTTGCACAGTATTTTAGAAGTAATAGACAAGAGATTGTGATTCAATACTGATTTACAGAGTTCTTGATCAGCAAGAGAAAATCACCTTTGAGCAGCGCAGTATCTCGAATAATATATCTGCATGCTTTAAGTAGTAGAGCTAAATAAAGTAGCAATTACTCACAACTATTTTGGGGTTGTGAAACCATTACCCGTATATATTATCTTCGACATCGGTTCTTTGTGTCGTGCAAATTCTCCAAATCTTTGCAAATCAAAAAATAGAAATTCACGCCCTAAAATGTTATCCCATGACCACCCAATATTGAAGGCTCTACCCTGTCATCAATTTAAATACACGTATTGGTTCGCCTTGAATCTGAAACTTTTCAGCTACAAAATTAAACGGAAAAATATATTGCTTGTCTATTTTATCAATTAAATATATTAAGATCTCAAATTTGGTTAGGAATTGGTCTCCTTCTATAATTGCACAATTTTAAGCTTGATTGTTACGACAATTAGCATAATTATTTAACAAATTATTGTTGAAATGAACTTGAAATAAGTAAAGAAACATTAAGTTCGGCCCGGCCCAATTTTTAATACCCTTCATCTTAGGGTAAAGGAAATATTTTTATTTAAAGACCGTTTAACTAATTCAGTTAAACTTATCAAAAACCCATAAAGTGGGCCATACCAAAACGGGTGCCTATATGGAGAACTTTATATTAAAACTATTGTTATCTATTGCGAGTCTTAAATGCCAAATTTAAAAATGTGACAATGATTATGAAAATACCGAATATCGGTGGGTACCATTATATGTGCGCTATAGGAAAACATGGACTTAGATACTCATTGTTCTGACACCGGATCGAGAACCCATTAAGAACTACAAATACCAATTTTTAGACAAATTCGTGGAAAAATGTGACAAAAATCATAAAAATACCGAATGTATGGAGGTACCACGAACTGCAAATACCAATAATCTGTGGGAAAATGTGACAAACATATATGGGGGCTATACCAAAACGTGGACCTATACATACAATGCTTCACCACACGAGCTTCACCATTACCAATTTTAAGACAAATCCGTGGAAAAATATGGCTAAATCAACAAAATACGTATATCGAAAGGAACCGTTGTATGGGGACTATACCAAAACGTGGCCCGATATATTTTATTTTCAATACCAACAATCCTAGACACAATACAAACTGTTGTGACAAATGTTGAAGTTCTAGGTCAAATATTTTGGGCTGTATTGTGATATCAACAGACAGACGGACATCGTTAAATCGACTTGGAATTTTATGCTGGACAGGAATACATATACTTTATTGGGTCTACGACGAATACATAGGGATGCTACAAACGGAATGACAAAGTTAATATAGCCTCCTTTTCAAGATGGATGGTACAAATACAACTTTAACTGGTATTCATGTATTGTATTACAATAATCCAAGATTTTGAGCGGATTTCGTTAAAGAAAGAATCAGTTCCCCAACATTGCTTCTATGAATATCCTTCAAATGTACTAAAATCATGTCTAATTATATCTGAAAAATAGGCAAGCCAACATAAACGTTAATTAGAGGGTGTGCATTTCGATAAGCATATTTTGAAGTATACTGAGAACAATGAGCACTTTTTACAACACCGATTGTTAGTTACAAGGTAAGATAAAAAAAACTACAACCAACTTCAGACTGCTGTCATTTCTAAGCCACTCGTCCGACAGCTGTTAAAATTATTCCATTGACAGCTCATTATATTGTTTACAAGCGTACAAAAGCATTTTGGTGAGAATTTTCCAGAAAAAAAGTTATCGGTGTCCAGCAGTTTGTAAACAAGCAAAATGATCGTGTTTACTTGCCAAAGAGGTCAGCTGAAATGTGCACCTTCGATTGGCCGCCAAAACTCAAGCGCCGGCCATTGTGATGGCGTGGACCGCCATTACAGCCGATGGTTGCTCGCCGCTCGTATTAATCACAACGTGTCATCAGATAAATGCCGAATATTATCGCGAAAATATTCTGGAGGGTGTATTAAGACCTTGGGCACGCAACCATTTCGGCCGTAGACCTTGGACATTCCAACAGTACTCAGCACCATCGCACTCAGCACGCGCCACCCAAGAATGGTTACAAAATGAGGTTCCTCGCTTTATTTCCAGCGCATAGTGGCCACCAAAATCTCCGGATACCAATACGTTAAACTATTGTATCTGGAGTATTTTGTGAAGCAAGTTTGGCACTAAAAAATACCAAAGTGTCGATCACCTCAATCGCCGTTTGAAGGCCATAATTTGTGCCAAAAGTGATCGATACGAATAAATCTAAACTTATTCTAAAATCTAATGCTATTTCCGACATTTTTTCGTTTCATTCAATAAAATTAAAAAAAGCAAGTAAAAAAGCTGTAAGTTTAGCCGGGCCGAACTGTGAATACCCTCCACCAATTGGGCCGAAGTGTGAATACCCTCCACCAATTGGAACGAATTTGGCAATTCTCTAAAACAATAAAAACCGTTAAAAATTCTGTTAAAATCTTAAAAATACCGAATGTAGCTATTATATTAGGGTCTGTACGACGGCATAGACCTGCATAGGTAACATTCGTCATAAGCAAATACAATATTCAAATGCGAAACTTAAAAAAAAATTGGTGAGTAATATAGCTAAAATCATTAAAATACTGAATATCGGAAGGTACCAATATAAGGGGGCTATACGAAGACGTGGAACTGTCCAGAACATCTCCTTTCTTATGCTGTAGTTTCCATTTCGAACTTCAAATACCAAATTTTAAACAATTCCGGTTAATAATGTCGCTAAAATCATAAAATTATGGAATATCAGGAGGTACCGTTATGTGGGGGCCATACGAAGACGTGGACCTGCATAGACAATGTCCGTCATAGGCTGTAGTATCCATTACGAACTTCAAATACCAAATTCTAAACAATTTCGGTTAATATTGTCGCTAAAATCATCAAAATACCGTATATCGGGAGGTACCGTTATATGGGGTTATACCAAAACCAATACCAAATTCTAAACAATTTCGGTTAATATTGTCGCTAAAATCATCAAAATACCGTATATCGGGAGGTACCGTTATATGGGGTTATACCAAAACGTGGACTTATATGGCCCATTTTCAGTACGAAAAGTCTTGCAGACATAGTATACCTTTGAGTAAAATTTTATCAGTCTACTTCAATTCGTTCGGAAGATAGTGTGATTTCCACAGACGGACAGACGGACGGACATCGCTAAATCGACATAGAATTTTATTCTTTTCAAGAATATATATACTTTGTGGGGTCTAAAATGTATATTTCGAGGTGTTACAAACGGAATGACGAATTCAATTTTATTGTGCACCAAATGCTTGAGATAAGCCCGAATTGAATGAATTTTGGCACATATGCACGAACTTAGACAGGAAGAAAGTATATCAAATTTTGTGAAAATCGGTTAAGATATAGCTATAGGTCCAATATATATTTTTCAGTATATATTTTTCACTACAACGATATTTGATGCCAACTATTAGATACAGCACAGAAATACCTCTGCTAAATGTTATAAAGATCGGCTTATATTTGGGTATAACTCCGATATATATGTCCACCCGATTTCACGTTTATTGAGCTCAAAAAGTGTAATATCAGCTTAAATAGGATTGATTTTTATGAATAATACTCATTCAAAAACAATCATATTTGATACGTTTTAATTCTCATATATTCCCCATAAAAGCGTTTATTCGTTGTATGTAGCGCTACTATATATACAAAGTGGTGTAGGGTATCATAAAGTCGGCCCAGCAGACTTTGGCCTTTCTTTACTGGTTTGGGTAATGAGTTTTTTATTGTTAAGTTAAAAATTACTATTTCGAAAACTTGAAATATTTTCATGTCCATTTTAATTTTAATGTAGGGTTTTTATATGAGTTTTAATTGATGTAAATTTTACGGTGTCTGTCATCTGGGCTTTCATTTTCGACAATTCAAAAAACCTAAAAATAAGTAATTATCTCTTACGCTGTACTGCAAATGCAATCGAAATCGTTTTGAATCTCCATCACCAAAAATGTTCTCTTCATTTTTCGCTGTCTGTGTAAACTTACAACTTAACCACTGTGCTTGACACATTGATTTTTGTTTGAAGAGAGGAACGAACGCCAACCAAGTATGCAAATTATTTTGAACATCTAATGTTTTTATTGAGTCGATACTTATATGGCCAAGTCGATCCGACGATCGACAACTGTTAAACGAAATTCCCCCAAAAAGTGCCGGAATAACATGTTTTTTTTTTCTCTGCTCAGCCGGTCATTTATCACTTCGACTTAATGTCTTCTTCATGGGGGCGACAATGATAGTAAAGCTCACTCACTGGGCCACAAGCAGAGGAAGAAGTGTGGTGAAGCTGTTTTCGATGTTAACTAGCCACTGTTACTTCGTTGCCATTTGGCCTCCAATCCGAATCCAAAGATGTGGGAGCTAATGATTTACTTGTCTCCATCAAAGAATTGAATTTATTGTTTTCTGGTTTCAACGAAATATTTTTAGTTAATAATAGTTTTGTGTCTATTTTTAGCTACAGTTTGAATCAGACACGTAACGGAGATTACATAACTATTTTAAGAATGTGTAATGGAGCGACTTGGGTTATTGTTGTTGCTGATTGGTAGGTTCATTGGTTGACTTACGTTGGATAGTTGTCGATGTGCTCACAGTAGGTTTTTCCTGGTCGGGCACATGATGGCGTCTGGCCGGGTGGTGCCGGTAGAAACCGACATGGAGGCGCACCATATAAGCCACAGGGCGGTGTTGAATGTGCTGAGCAAATTGAAAATATTGTACTGACTAATATCTGCAAATAGAACAAACAAGAAGAGATTGTGTTACGTTATGTGCAATTTTTAGATGAAAAAATCTAGTGAAATAAAAAAAAAATATGGAGATCAAAAATTGTAGAAAATTAAATGAAAAGCAAACTTCATGCATTTTTAAAGATTTACAATCAAAAACCATTTGAAGTCTTGTAAAAAAGCGGATACAAGTTTTGTAAAAACTTGGCATACTCGTAAGAGTAGGGAAGAAATATATCATCATGCTAAACTGATTTCGATCAAAATCTGCGGAAATGAACCGCCAAAAATAATATGAACAAAACTTCTTGCGGTTATGTACGATCTGCAAGTGTAATATAGTGGGGAGATACTTGATTGAAAAATAACCAACACCGTAGTAGAGTTATGGAGGGTCAAACACACTTTAAAAACATGGAAAAATTGGTTTTATTGATTGTAAAAAGATGTTGACTAATTGTTTGCATTGATGAGAGAACTTTTAATTTATGTTTCATCCGATTTGGTGTTTTAGTCCCTCACATTCGTAATATACACCCCAAAAATTGATTTTTAGTACCACATATCAGATTCAGCCCAGCAATACATGATTCAAACTTTATCAAGATCGGTTCAGATTCCGAGACTTCCGAGCGAATTCATTCAAGAAGTTAATACTTAATATTTGGTGAAAATCGCTTCAGATATAGCTATAGCTCCCATATATATGTTTCATCCGATTGTGGTGTTTAAGTCCCTTACATTCGTAATATACACCCCATAAAAATGATATTTGGTACCAGATATTATATTTAGTATTGCAAACACTGAAAGAAAAATGCTTCGTTGTATCAATGAACCGGTTTCATTGATTTTTTCCATTGATGCAATGAAAAGGTACATTAATATAATAAATATTTTGTTCATGCAATGAAAACTTACGTTGCTTTAAAATTCAATGATTTTTGGTTTCATTGAATATATGAAACGGATGTCATTAATGTTACGAAACTACTTATTTTTACAAAATTTAGTAAAAAAATGTTAATATAGAAATGATTCATAATAGCGCTATCTGATACAAATAAGTACGCAACCAAAGTATTTATAATAAGACGGAAGATAGTGATAATTGTTACATTTAAATTTGTGCGCCAATTTAATGAAACAGTTTCATGAAATAAATGAAACGTTACGATGTGGAGTTCGTTCTGGGCCAAAAAAAAATGATGCATGGAAAATGTCATCTCAATAAAAGGCGACAATAAAAGTGACCTGCATTTTGTTCATTAAAATGTGTGGGCAGACGGTCAGACTTACTGATATTCATAAACCGACTCAGAATGTGATTTTATAAAAATCATTCAAAAGTAGAATTTAGAATTTATCTGTTACAAACAAATACACTACGAGAAATTACCCTTTTTTATGTCATATTCAGAGCGACCCAGTGTTAGTACTTTTTATTGTGACCCTAACTCTGACTTCACGCAAAATATCGTAAAGATCGGCTAATAATTACAACCTGTAGAGCGATATCAAATACACAGTCATTGAAGAGAGATGAACGAAAACAGACATCTATATCGACTCAGTTCGTTGGGATATAATGATCGCTATATTACATGGTGGGTCTAGTATCAATATTTAGAGGTACTATGAGCTTGTGGTACACATAATCGTATTATTATTGGGATTTAGGAAAATAGCGGACATTATTTCCATAATAATGGGGATTATGACCAGATCGATTGCGAACATAAACCCCATTATACGGTAGGTAGATCTTTATTCGTCATAGTGGGTCTATTTTTTACTTTTTAGGGATTTTCAAAAAGTTCAGGAACGAAAACGACAATTTTCTTACATTGCTCCGAAACCGGTTCAAACAACCCCAACATATGTTGATTCTATTTTCGGACATATTCCCCACAGGAAAGGGTTACACACTCTATGGGCTTAGCAAATCCCTTCTAGAGATACAGACAGAGAGATCATCACTAATTGCGATGAAATGTCCGCGTGAAGATTTCTTCTATAGCCTTCACTTCGACGAGGCTTATTATGACCGCATCGAAGGATATATTTCCAGCGCACAATGGCCACCAAAATTTCCGGATACCAACCCGTTGGGCTATTGTGTCTGGTGTCGATCACCTCAAGCAAGCGCTTCGCCGAGAATGGGTCAAAATACCACAGAGCAACATTCGGGCCGTTTGAAGGCCATAATTCTAATATTTGATGCTAAATCCGACATTTTCTTTCATTCAATAAATTAAAAAAAAACAGTAGAGAAAGTCTTAAAGTCGGGTGGGGTCGACTTTATGATACCCTACACCACATACTAATTTAGTAGAGCTCCACATAACAATTAAAATTTTTATGGGAGAATTATACACGCTATAATTATAATTATAACTAGCTGGCCCGGTCCGCGTTGCCGGCCCGTAGTTTTTGTCTATTATGCATATTTGTCAAATCATAATTATTCAAAGATATGAATGTTATAAATGTTCACGTACTGGTCGATTAGTTTTTAATTTTTAGTAAAATGAGCAGTAATTTGGAATTTACTGTACTTTGTACACCTCATAATTGAGTGCTAATTGATTTAAGAATAGCCAAAGTTAATTACTTTTTTGAACCCATTAGCACCTCAGATTGTGCGTTAGAGTCCTCATAAGTCCCCCTAACCATGTCGGTCTGTTTGTCCGCCAAAAGGTGGTCTTGAGGGGGTACTACTACATGGAGAAAATTCTAAAATTTGTGTAAGACTTTCACCCCAAATACACATTTTTAGCCAAGTCCTTTGAATTATGGTAAAATGCGAAACATGGACCTACATTGAAAATTTTCTTCACCCCCTATAATCCAAGATGACAAATAGAGGCCAAATCGAAAATATAGCAGAACAACATAGCATGTCAAACTGAAAAAAAATCACGTTATTTAAATAAGTAAAAATAGTTTTATCCACCTCATAATTGAGGTCAGACTGATTTCAGAATAGTCCAATATAATAAATATTTTACACCTATTACCGCAATATGGGAACTAATTTTATTTGTCATTTAATTGTAAATTGGAGACCCCATAAAGTCCATATTTTTCATCATAGTATAATTCAATGACGATTCAACAAATATTCGGTCCCGTGCTACTTTTTTATATTTGTAATTTGTTCATGTTTTCACAATTTATTTCATATAGATGTATATCCCAAATCTACGTTCCCAACCAATATTCTCTTGGGAGTTACAAATTCAATAGAATACAAATTTTTCTTTTCAGACCATACATTAGATGTGAAAGTGGACTTGGGGATACTCCAATGTGGGGACTTTACATGAATAAATTTCTATGTGGCAATTATCTGTACGATGGTTCCTTACCCCAGGGTAGCATAAATACAATTTTTTAGTGGTCAAGACCAATATGGACCCTACTCCGAAAATTTTATATGAAGAGCTTCTCTACCCCCTTAGAAACAAAGATGCCAAATAAGGACCAAAAATAGAAGAAAGTGGCGAAGACTCCAAAAATCGCTTAAATCATACGATGGATATTTATGATCGATATCATGACCTGCAAATGCGATTTAAGGTATCTTAAATGTTCAGGAAGAATTTTTGGAAGGATGGAAATCCTTTTCTTACTAAAAGTCCCATTCGCTCTACTATTTTGCACCCTTTATATTTGGTATTTTACTGATTGTACTCCCAAAAATTTTTGCATTTTGAGCTCTCATTGGACGGATTATTGTCACATGAAAGAAGTAGGGCCACGCTTTGAAATAAGCCCCATTAGTCTTTTTCGGTCATTTTTGTTTGTTTAAATGTCTGCGCATCTTCCAGCTGAAGCACGATGTAGGCCCTGGAGTTGAAAGGTAGATGTCAGTTACCATCGTATTTCGCACTTATTTCATTTTTTTGGTGAAAAATTGTATATAGTGAAAAATTATTCTTTATTTTGTTCACAAAAAATCCACTGAATTCAATATGATATTACAAATTGAAAAAAATTGACAAAAGAAGAATAACAAATTGAAAAAATGATTTTTTACAGCAACTGTTTAAAGATCCTTACAAAGTTTGTCAATAGAATGTACTTTTATTTTAAAATTCAATTCCATTGGCAATTTTTTTTCGATATTTTCCCATTTTGAGATCTCTTTTTTCGTGATTTTTTAACGATTTTAAAAAAGTAATTATCTTTTAACTTTGGTGTGACCGCATTAAATTATTTCGGTATCATCTATTCCGTTTCGCCACCACATAATTCGGTACTACACTTCCATGTAACCCGCCATCAATTTCAGTTCTCAAGAAATCAAGTCAATTAAATAAATTGGTATTAATATTCGAATTCAAAAATAAAATATAAAAAACGCTACAAATGTACATTAGAAAAAGTAAGTCAAAATGGAAAAAAATAATGCTAAATAAAACATTACTATTGTACATTTCAAAAGTCAAAATGAAAATGTTAACATATCACATTTTTACGCGATTTTTTTGGATATTATCCTTTTCGGATAAGAGACAATTCCGAATTTGTATGAATCATTAAAATCAGTTCAGCGGTTCTTAAGTTATAAGCGTAGTAACTAACACAACTTTCATTTATATATATAGATTATAATTTAAAGTTCAAAAGACTAAATATGGCGAAGCATTTGCAACTTTTAAATTCGGACTTGTATTGCCCATTTGATATATATGGGAGCTATATCCAAATCTGAACCGATCTCGATAAAATTTGGCAAAGATATTTCTGAGCTGTATTTGATCTATTTCCCTGAATATCGTTGTTACGGAGTGCATATTACGGTTGTGGGTAACAAATATAACAAATCGGATGAACAATATATATGGAAGCTATAGCTGAACCGATCTTCACCGAATTTGACGTACTAGCTTCTAGATTCAATTCGGTCCTAAGTGCCAAATTCCATCACATTTGGACAAATATTAGATGTTTGGTGCACAATAAAAGTAAATCGGACGAAGTTATATATGGGAGCCATATCCAAATCTGAACCGATCTCGATAAAATTTAGCAAATGTATTTCTGAGCTGTATTTGATATACTTCCCCAAATATTGTTGTTACAGAGTGCGTATTACGGCAGCGGAGGACAGAAATAAAAAATCGTATGAACAATATATATGGGAGCTATAGCTATATCTGAACCGATTTCGATCAAATTTGCAAAAATTCCATACTATTCGGACTGATATTACACGTTTGGTGCACAATTAAAGCCAATTTCAAAAGGGTTCGTCCTTGGGCCAAACAAATTATCAGTGCAAAATTTCATCTGGATCGGGCAATAAATGCGAACTGTACTTTGTTTACAAAAACATGGACAGACGGACAGACAGACAGACGGACGGACATGCATAAATCGACTCAGAGTGTGATTCTATGCAGAACATCAAAAGGGACTATTTGCCCGTTACAAACAAATGCACAAATAATACCCTGACCACCTTGTGGTGTCGGGTATAAAAATTTAGAAATTATGGTGTTTGACTTTGTTGCAGTTTTTTTATCTCACCATGTAATTGGGGCGTATTGGAATTTGTGAATGATTCTCGTTTTCACAGACAATTTGAGTTGTATTTAAATATTCCTCTGTTTTCCTGTATCATTACACGGTATCACGACATTTAGCCATCACCAGACTTTCGAGCAGTTTTGGGGCTCCGAAGTTGTTTCACCTATGAATTGGTGAAAGATGTTTTACTGTGAAATTGGGATTTACCGGTTTGCTTCTTCTGCTTTAGGTTTTGAAAGATAATAAATCACATAGAAAGTGAACCGATTGCACGATTTAATCCAAACATGACACGCAGTAATATGACAACGATCAATGAGTCAGGTACGTAAAAGTACAATACCGAACCATTCATTCTCATCCCTTTAAAGAGTAAATATTTCGAATTACAATAACAAACCATTTGAAACAATGTCAAATAAGTGTCCGGCTTTCTTAAGCTTTCCCATGGAGCATCATTACTTTTGAATGAACTTTTGAACCTCTCATTTATTTCACAATATTTCTGCTCTTTTGTGTATTGTATTTATGTGGGATATATCGGTCAAATACTTCTAGTAGCCTCCTGACAGTGGTAACATTTCGGACAATCCTTATTACATAAATTGAGCGGAGTATAGCAAGTTGATCCAACTATGCCTTTCAGTTGCATATTATTGGTTTATTGTACCCACCACCATAGTATGGAGGGTATATTAATTCTGTTTATAACTTCTCGAAACATACATTTTATACTCCACAAAGTATATATATATTGTTGATCAACATAAAACTCTATGTCGATTTAGTGATGTCCGTCCCTCTGTTTGTCCGTCTGTGGAAATCACTCTAGTTTCCGAACGAATTGAAGTAGGTTGATAAGATTTTACTCAGATGTGTGCTTGTTCTACAGTACTTTTGGTATTGAAAATGGGCTACATAGATCCAATGTTGGTGTAGCCCCCATATAACGGTACCTCCCTATATTCGGCATTTTGATGACTTTATCGACATTATTGTTTAACATAACGTATTTGTAGTTCGTTATGGGTACAGTCTGTGACAGAAATTTGTCTATGCAGGTACACGTTCTCGTAAAGCCCCCATATAACGGTACCTGCCTACATTCGCTATTTTGATGTTCTAAACGAAATTATTCACCGAAATTGTTTCAAGTTTCGTATTTGAATATTGTGATGACCTTGCCTCTCCAAATATACGTCTTCGTATAGACCCCAACGTAGTGGTATACTATATTCGGTATTTTGTATTGTGTTTAGGATGGTTAGCATTGAAAATGAGATATATCGGTTCACGTTTTGGTATAGCCGCCATATAACGGTACCTCCCGTTATTCGGTATTTTGATGATATTCGCCACATTTTTTCACGGATTTGTCTTAAATTTTGTATTTGTAGGTCATAATGTTCCGTTGTCGAAACATATCTAACGATGCCCACCGATAATCGGTATTGCGATAATTCTATTCACATTTACCCACGAAATTTCAAATTTGGTATTAAAGAGGATTTGGTAGATAACAATCCGTGAAGTATAAAATTGTCTATAGACTTTCTCGTTTTGGTATGGCCTCCATATGACGGCCTCACCCACTTTATGGGTTTTTGCAAAGTTTAACAGCATTGTTATCAAAGTGGAACACGTTTGAACTCAGATATTGTCATATAAAATTTTTTCTTTAGCCAATGGTGGAGGGTATTAAAAGTTCGGCCCAAACGCTAATGGTAATGGGACCAACATTTCAAGGTATTAAAAACTTTTTGGTCCAATCAACCTTATAATACACCAAAGCACATAGAGTTGCAGTGTTTCAAAGGACTGTAAAAAACCTTAACACATATTTATGCCCGAGTAAAATTGCAATTACGATATAAAAAAACAATTCAATTATTTTCCATCGAATTGACTATAAATGATGTTTAATTTCAATACCATTTTATGATAAATAATTTGAATGTAATATCCGATATTACTTACCACATAAATTAATGTTAATCCATTATAACTAAAAAGATGACAAATAATACTCTTCATTGTTCATTCGTGCGTCTGCGTATCAGCATTGGTATTTGTTTCGCGCCTAATCACCTGAAAACAAAGAGGAAACATAAAAACACAATTAAAAGAAAATTCAAAGCAATAAACTAAATGACAATGGTCAATTTTTTTTAACAGTTCGAGGTTGTATTTTCATGCAAATGAATGACCAACCAGTCGACCAATTGATGAAGAAGACCAAAGAGTGGTGGCCTGCTATCCAAAGTGGCGATCTGTAAAAATCAATCAAGCGCTCGTTTCACATCTAGCCAAATAAAAAAGAGGAAAACATTGCCAAAATAAGGTGTTAATTTGTTCGGGGCAATAAAAGCCATCCAACTTGGCCAAGTGTCATTAAATGGGGGGACCACATATGTGTTCGAGATACTTAAACAAATACAAATTCGCTTCAAGTTAAGTGCCTTGTGAAAGCTAGCGTTTGATTGGCGTGAAATGATTTTGTCATTTTGAATTTAACAAATGTTTATTTGTAGGCGAGGCATGCATTTCGAAATCGCATAAATTTACGAACCAACTACACCAGCGTGATGCATGATTGCTCCTTTTTTTATGATTCAAATAACTTCAAAACATTTGTTTGGGTCATCAGTCCATGGTTTTAAGGTTTTTGCGTGGTTTGCATGGTTTTACATTTAACTGGTACTGTTGTTTTGACTTCCCAGCAAACCAAATTGTCAGAGTTCGGACAAGAATTCCATTTGAAAATCTTCAGAAACTAGCGATGTCGTATGCAAATTCGTGCTTATTTCACGACCAAAAGAAGTGCTTCTCGGAACCAATTTAAAATAAAACAAGTAAAGAAACATTAAGTTCGGCCGGGCCGAAATTTGAATACCCTCCACCTTAGGGTACAGGAAACATTAAAACCCATTTTGAGCCACAAATACCAATTTTTAGACATATCGAATATGGGGAGGTACCGTTATATGGGTGCTATACCAAAGCATACGTACAATATTTCGCCAAAAGAACTAGGACCCATTATGACCTACAAACACCAATTTTCAGACAAATCCGTGAAAAATGTGGCAAAAATCATCAAATATGGGGACTATACCAAAACGTGGACCTATATACAATACCAACTATCCTAGACACAATATAAATTGTTCTGCTAAATTTTGACGCTCTATGTCAAATATTGTGGGCTGTATCGTGATTTCAACAGACAGCCGGACATCGTTAAATAGACTTAGCATTTAATGCTGATTATGAATATATATACTTTATGGGGTATACGACGAATATTTAGGGATGTTAAGGTTACAACTTAATTGCAGTTCGAAACACAATTTTTGAACAAAGTATTTTTCAAGCGTTTTTATACCCTCCACCATACATAGCATGGAGGGTATATTAAGTTCGTCATTCCGTTTGTAACTCATCGAAATAATCATTTTAGACCCAACAAAGTATATATATTCTTGATGAGCATAAAATTCTAAGACGATGTCCGTCCGACTGTCCGTCTATTGCAATCACGCTACAGTCAAAACGAATTAAGATAGGAAGCTTAAATTTTGCACTGATCTGTCTTTTGTCTGCAGGCAGGTCAAGTTCGAAGATGGCCTATATCGGTCCATAATATCGTATAGCCCCCATGTAACGGTACCTCCCGATATTCGGTAATTTGATTATTTTAGCCACATTTTTCAACGGAATTGTCTTAAAATCCACACAAGTAGTTTCTTGTGAGTACTTTACCCCCTGAGAGAGAATTGTCTATACAGGTCCACGATATCGTATATCTCCCATATAACGGTACCCCAGATATTAGGTATTTTGATGATTTTACTAGATTTTTCATCGGAATTGTCTGAAAATCCACACAAGGAGTTCATTGTGGGTACTTTATATCTCGGCAGAGAATTTTCTATATAGGTCCACGATATCGTATAGCCCCCAGCCATATAACGGAACCCCGCGATATTCGGTATTTTAATGAGTATAGCCACATTTTTCAACGGAATTGTCTGAAATTCTACACATGGAGTTCTTTGTGAGTACTTTACCCCCAGACATAGATTTGTCTATATAGGTCCCCATATATCGGCACCTTCTGATATTATGTATTTTAAAGATTTTAACTGAGTTTTTAATGGATTTTATTTTTTTTTTAAATTTTCTAATTTGTTTCAAATGGTGGAGGGTATTCAAAGTTTGGTCCGGTCGAACTTACTGCTTTTTTACTGGTTTAAGAGAGCTTTTATTCATAAGATATACATGTAAAGAATTCTGACATCGTAACGGTTCGAAATATAATACACAAATTTGTCCAAAATTAAAATTTTAATTTATGTACTCATTTTTAAAAGTCAAGAACAATAATGAAAATGTTGTTTGTTCGCTAACATAAAGTTTTAGGCTTTTTAGTCAAATTATATTTTTTTGTTGCACTCATTGTGAGATGAAAAATCTGCAACCAACTTCAGACTATCGTCACCTCTAAGCCACTCTTCTGACAACTGTTAAAATTATTTTAGTGACAGCTTATCATATTGTTTACAAGCCTACGAAAGCATTTGGTGAGAATTTTCCAGAACAAAAGATATTCGTGATGGAATTCAAGCGTGATAGTGTAATTTCTTTATATTTGGCTGGAAAACCACAAGTGGCTATCGTTAGAGCACACCAGCATTTAAATGTGAATAAATCTTTTGTGTCTCGTTCCATCGCTCGTTACCGTGATACAGGTACCGTAGCCCGAAGTCAAGGAAGTGGACGGAAGAAAACAGCAACATCAGCAGAAATGGTTCGAAAAGTAAAGAAGCGACTTGATCGAAGCCCGCGCCGCAGTGTCGAATAATGGCGCGTGAGCTGAATATATTGCAATATTCCATTCGGCAAATAAAGCCGGGTTAAAGCCATTGAAATTCCAAAAAGTGCAAGAACTTACACTGCAAAAGAAAGAAAATAGACTCAAAAGACCTAAAGTTTTGCTTCGCTTGGCCGAAAGTGGTGAACTGCCGAATTTGTTTTTCTCCGATGAGAAAACATTCGTTGTGTGGGCCGCCATAACAACCGATGGCCGCTCTCTGCTCGTATTAATCGACCGTGGCATCAGAATAAATGCCGAATGTTATCGGGAAAATATTCAGGAGGGTATATTAAAGCCTTGGGCACGCAAACAGGACTTTTTTAAGTTTTTTGTCTTTTTTTCACAGTGCTAAAAATACAATGAAAGAGCGCAAAAATCCCTGTTAAAGCGTAAACCGAAACAGAAAGTGTAACAACTCCATTCAAAAACAGGAAAAGTTTAAAAATTCGGGCAGACTTTGGATTTGCGGGAAAACATTTAAGGACAAACATGCCTGATGGTCGTTTGACACTTGCTTTGGTAGCCTCCGACATTGCAATAGAGGAATATTGGCCACATTAACCCGATAAAATACGTCCGTTTGCAATATTTAATTTGGTTAAAAACTTACCAAAGGAAACACTTCGCGCATCAGATGGTTCAATGAAGACAAAATATATATTAAAATATCCCGATTTTTCATCAACAATGCGGTTTGTGCAAATTTGGCTGAGCTCCGCGAAAAACTACCACTTTTGTAGAGCGTTAGCAGTTAAATAGTTTCAAGTGAAAAAATTCGGATTAAGTTATTCCAGATTTGAACACCTAGAGCACAGCTAAAATCTAGTTTTTTTTTGTCACTCTGCAGATATAATACGTTGTGACATTAGATATAATCAATTGTGAAGTAAGACATAACTACGATAAATGCATTCAGTTAATAACAGCAATTAATAAATCAGATTTAATGCAGATTAAATGACTACTTTCATAAATCAGATAATTGTAAACAGGTGATAATAAATATTTATCGAACGAGAACTATCATTCAATTTAATTGCAGGTTTTCAACACAGCCGCAATTGGTGGCACTTCGAGAAGCCAGCTATGAATTATTGCCATAGCACCCAGCACGCTTTTCATTAGTTTATCGGTGATTGAAGATAGTCGTGAAACAGCATGCTGCACACAATTCCAGACACCCAGTCAGACAGTCGGTCAATCAGACTGGTCGGTGTATCATTCAATCAGACTTGGTGTTGTCACAGTGAGTCGTCTGTCGCTGCACACAACGCAAGCAGACAGGTTCAGTCTTCCGACCCTGCAATTTTTTATTATTAGTTAACATTTAAAATTAAGTCGCCAATTAATTCTTATTTGCGATTTCGGCAATTTCGGGTTGATGATTAATGAATGTTGAGGCAAATACCAGTGCAAATAAACGGAGGGTGATGCACTCGGCCAACAATGATGAAGTAATCATGATAACCACACAAAACATGGATCTTTTGAATTCATCTAATGGAAAGTGATTTCCACATTTATGAACGTGTGAAATTGCATCAAATAACTTCGCTATGCCATTTTTCATACAGTACTCACTTTAGAGTTTGTGGAGGTCTGTAACCAAATTTTCCATTTTATAGATGTGTTTATAATGAACAGCCCTATGTAGCAAATTGGAAATCAGAGGTAATTCCTTTTGCGGAATTATTATTTAAACACTGGATCCATTGGGATGTATGTCAAGTCTGTCTGGTACCGACCGAAAATACGGTCATAATCCTCATAACTGTAATGTGGATTATGTAATGAGGATTATGTTTTACAATTTGTTTAAAAGTAAGTTTAATTTTTAAGAAATATTCCGAGTTTCTGACTATAGCCTACACTACACAATGTGTTGGGGGTATTTTGAGTTTGATTAGGACAATATGTCGATCTGGCTATGTGTGTCCATCCACATTTTTAAACACGTTCTTTTGTAATCACTCTGCAGGTCGCAATTATGGTCCATGGAACTAGGGTTAGGATCAGACTACAAGCACTAGAAGTTGGTAAAGATGGCCGCATAATATTTAGGGTGTGAAATTCTAGTTTGAAAATATCCGACCTTTAATATTTAAATAAGTGCACTATTTAACCCTTACAATCGAAAATTATAGTGCTGAATGAAAATAGCCTTATTTAGTCGTTTTCGATTGGAATTTTTGAATTTCAATTAATATTTTCC